CCCGCCATTCCTTCAGCTGCCAGTCTTCCCTACCCTAGTACAAATCACTGCCCACAGGCCTTCTCCACGAAGCCTTTGGGGCGTCTTCAGCCTTGGCCTCTTCAAGCCCCTGATAACCACTACCCCTTCTGTTCGCCTGGCCCATGGGGCCCCTGGAGCAGGACACAGGGTCCTTCCTCCGTCCCCGGGGCCGGGAGAGAAGAAAAGGTCAAACACCGAAGACATAGCCGGGAGCACAAATAAACGCCCAGAGCTGCCCTGGGCTACACGGAAAATCTGCCCACAAAAACCCCCGGGGCCCCTCCTAAACCACAGCACCCCGGCCTGTCTCAATCTGCCTCATTCATCCACCCGGCCAGGCCCAGGGCTGGGGCTGGGGACAAAGGGAGGTTCAGACAGGTCCTATTGGTGAGGGGTACCCAGTCCCACATGTTTACACACCCATCGCTACAGCATTCAGGAGGCAACCTATGGGGGATGGGGACTGCATTAACAGCAGAGACCGCCAGCCAGACACCACCTGAGCAGACACTGGGGCCATTGATCCTGCATGCCCCACCCCCTCTTCCCGTGTTGGAGGAACTCCTAAGCATTCCTCAAAACCCCACTCCTACATCACCCACTCTGGGCAAAGTCTTCCTGTGAGCAGCCTTCTGCTAGCACTAGGGACTCCTTAGGGACCCCAAGGCTGGCCAGAGGGCCTCTGTGAAATGGATGCAAGGCAAGGCTGGGTGTCTTAAGCTGAAAACAGCAAGAGGAGCCCTTGCCTTGCTTGAAACCAGCATAGGGAGGCTTCACCTCTCAGCCCTCAGGAGCACACGAGGAGACTCAGCAGGTTACAGGGCCACATAAGGCGGTCCAGGAGAGAGGGTCTATGAGACCAAATCAGGCATGGGCGCACCTGGAGGCAGGGGGCTGGACTCAAAGACCTCTCTGTGCCCCCCTCCTGCCTGACAAAAGCCAAGAGCCCACGGCCCAAGTGTAAAAATATATCTGTGTACACAGGACGGTGTGTTCGTGCGGAAAATGTGTGCCCCACACACCCTCCAATGCGCAGCTCAGGCCAGGCCAGTGGGCGGAGGGATCAGAATACATGTGCTGCGACAAGTGCCTGTCGGGAGTGCGAGCTACTGGTATTGTTACTATTGTTTAAATCACAACTTAAAAACAAAAACAGTCCAAGCTGGGAATGTTGGGTTGTAACCAGGTGCTCAGCCCCCACCATAGCACCGCACTTCGCCAGGGCCTAGGGCTCAAAACAGTTAAGAATGACCACTTGGAGCAAAGCTGGGTCCCAAAGGGAACGTGGGGGCCCTGAGGCCACAGAGCTCGGTCCCTTCCCCTGCCCAAGAGGGCAGTACTGATCACCAGGACGAGTCCCAGCTGCCCTGAAGGCCCCCAGTGTCGAGGGGGTGGCAAGCCCTAGATGTCTTCCAGGCCGCCCTAGGACGGGTGGGCAGTGCCCCCAGCATCCACCCAGGACAGGAAGCCGGGCCGGGGCCTGGAGCGAAGGCCGGGCCCAGAAGCCTTTGTGGGCTGGCCTGGGCACCCGGCCACCGCGGACAACTTTTGTCTCCCAGAAAATGAGCTCTTTTTTTCCGCGGCCCACCCACCAACGCGGACGCGCGGCGGGCCGAACCTTCCCCCCGAGTCCGCCAGCGCACCCACTGTGCGCCCCGCTGGCCACGCGCCCTGGGCCCTGAGTCCCGGCGCCCCTACTGCGAGGTGGGCCCTTGATCCCGCTCCGGGCCCGGCCAAGGTCATGCGGGAGGCCGGGTCCTCGCCCCGGAGCGGCGTGGGCGCTTCCCTCCCCGCCGGTCCGCGCCCTCCCCGCCAGGCCGCGCGCTCCCGGCCACTTCCTGCTCCGAGCCG